ATTTATTTAAAAAAAAAGATAAAGAACGACCTTTTCAGTTAATATCGTGCATTCGGAAGTTAATCATCTGTATTGCATACAAAGAAAATCAAATAATTAAATTTTTTATTTAATTTTTGTTCTTTTTTTTTTTGTACGTGAATTTGTGGGTAAACAACAATAATTATTGTTGTTTGTAGAAACAAATGAATCTCATATATGTATGTACATATATAAATATACACCTATAATATGTGTGTGAACTTATATTGTTTCCGTTCAAATCACTATTCTTAACAATACTGTAATTAATAATTATAGGTTCGGACCATCCTTTGAGAAAATTACAACACAATTGCGATTCAAATTAAATAAAAAATGTTGAAAACTGTTGTAGATGAGGAAAAAAGTAAAAGTTCTAGAATAATAGCATTAAAAGTACGAGTAGTATAAGTAAATAAATTCTCTATTACTTGTAAATTGTAATTATTTGGCGTATTATTTGGCAATAATTGAAAATTCAAAATAGAACTTAAAGGCCAAAAATGAGTGATTGGTATACTTATATTGTAATTGACTTTCAATTTTAATATCTTTAATAATCTTTATGAATTTCCATATAATCATTTCAAGGGTGATTCGTTAATAAATTTCCAGCAAAAAATTGTATTGGTGGAAGGGGAGCTACCAATTATCTACAAAACAAGCTCTCGATGGTTACTCTACAGCGCATCGTTTCGAATCTATAGGTATTTATTTATATGCAGGAAAAATCAAGAACCTTTTTTTTCAACAGACTGTAGACGACGAGTACATCTGCTCGTTTAGCTCAATAACGAGTAATAATTTCAAAAACCTGAAATTATTTGCCATATTATGCGAAACACCCTGTATAAATTGCAAAAAAAAATTGAAGAGATCAAATAAAATATATTGGTTTAATAACTTCATATTGGTATAGCAACATATTGGTTTATTAACGTCCTTCAAAATTTCATATATTTTGATAGAGGATTTTATTTTTAAAAGGTAAGTACTTATGAAACAGACAATGACTAGACTTTACTATAGAGTGTAATTACTATTATTACAATTATTATATAGAATTTTCCATAATACTCGTATGTTATTCATAATATATATAAGTAACAATTTTGGTAATTTAAAATTATATAAGTTAGTATAATTTTCAGTTATTTAACGACCTTAACAAATATTTTACAGAAGATAAAATCATTTTAAAACTGAGTCCTTATTTTTATGCTAGATTTTATTATACGTTATTCTTTATACTACAAAATATCAAAGGAGACTAAAGTTAATAATATTAATGAGTAAAGTAATTGTGATGCAATTACACAACAAATATTAAATAGTTAACTAATTGTGTATTGCTACCAATGTTCTCTCACAATGTATGCTTAGTGTATATTCTTCTATTATTAGAATACATAAAGTGCATTAATTAAAAATTACATAATTTTCAAGAATTTTAAAATTTTACTTCAATGAATATCCTAAAAAAGCTCAATTGATTTAATTAAATATCAATTTTAATTTTTTGAAATTCCAAATGTTTGCTTCTTAATAAATTAAAAATTACATAAATTACCACACGATTGTGTATGGTTTGTGTATTTCGAAAATCTCATTTTCATTAAAATGTATAATTAATAAGTATTTCATTTTGTCCCTTCTTATCTCGAATTAATAGAAGAATAATGTGTTAGAAATATTCACAGCACAAAATACCTTATGTTTTATTCCTTAACAATTAGGAAACTATACAAATACCATAATTACCTCTTCACTTTTCATGGTAATCCATTTTTGTTCATTTTCATATTTTGTTCACTTATAAGTGTATAATGTATAAAGTTTTAATCTACAAAATATAAATATTGATCTTTCATCGTTCCATATTATTTAATCTGTGTCATAACCCTTTCTTTCAACTTTAATGTCAATACAAAATTGAATCGAAAAACAAACCTATAAATTAATTTGGAAGCGATTTTTTTTTCATCATAAATTCCCGTATATGTATGTATGTATTTAATATTGTTTTTTCTAACAAAAGTTTTTCTAAACTCCTAATAAAATTGAATTTCAATTTTAAATCGATACAAAAAAAATATACTCAATATGAATATTTTTTTGTAGCAATAAAAACTTAGAAGAACAAGAAATAAATGTGCAAAATAGAATAAAACATTTGTAAAGTTGTTCTTTCAATTTTTTGGCTATCATAACAAGCATATTGTAAAAATCTATATTTTAAAAAATAACATAAAAAAAGAAAAGCCTTGCAATAGAAAATGAACATGATAAGAAAAAAAAAATTGGTCTATCGAAATTTTTCCAAGAAACAAAAAAAAAAACTAACAATAATTTAAAATTTTTAAACTTTTTATTATAAACATCTTGAAACTGGCACGAAACATTAAAATCTAATATTGCATAATTTATTGGGTATAAAATATCAGAAGGAAATATTACATACGTACATACATTTGTATCACACTACAATATGTACACAAAATTTCTAATAATAAAATAATTTTCTCTACAACATGTGACTTTCGTACTTAAAAGTACTTTCATATTCATGAATCATTGGCTAGGCTATACTAGATTGTATAATTGTTTATTTATTTATCTTGCCTTACAATTTTATGAGTACTAAAAAAAAAGTGCTATAAAAAATCCCTAAGCATATAAAAAATATTCCCAGTAGATTTTTTTTTAAATATCAAATAGTTGCAAATTATCTGTTTTGCTACTATTTAACGGTAAATAATCATAATAAGGTTTGTATAATGTAAAAATGTAAATAAGAGAATACAAAATTAAAGTTATTGTTAAAGTAAAATTTTGATTTAAATTAAAAAAAAAAAAAACGGGGACTGATAGAATCACCGTCCATTTTTAAAATATTTGTTAAATCTGCTTTAGCCCTATTCGATGGAGAAATAACTGCGTTTTTGGAGAATTTAAAAGCTAATTCTTTATTAACCACATTTCTTGTTAAAGATCTTTTAACGAAAAACCGATTTATTCAACAATTTTAGCATAAGCTATTGCCAATCTCAAGCTATATTACTAAAATTAGAATTTCTAACCAAAGGTAATATTACCAAAATAATATTTTTCTCACTACTTCAATCAGGGCAATCGTAAAAAATTTCGTTACTATTCAATAAAAATATAAAAATTTTTTGTTAGATCTACCTTGAATTGAAGTTTTCTGCAGCTTTCTTAAATCTCAACGACATTTGATACAGAAAAAATATTAAGTTCTGCTTTTTATCCATTCTTAAATGGTATAAATGGAATAGAAAAATTATAATACCTACAAAACATAATTTTGCATGAATATTAAAATTTAAGTACTAAAATTTTTGCAAAATATTTGGACAACATTAAATAATATTAATGAAATCTGTTTCTAAAAATACATTTTTTTTATAGTTTAGAAATATTTATAAAAAAAAAGAGAACAAGAAAAAAATCAACAAAAATAAAGCATCACACAAAACGATTTCGTCTAGTCAAAAAATGATTTGTTCCTGGAATGTACTATGACTAATATCGGAATCACTAGGACAAAATGAAAAAAAATGTATGTATGTATGTACTTGAATTTATTAAATTTTTCTCCCACTGGAAAATATTTCCTAATAAAAAAATTTAAAGGGGTGCAAAATTCTTTAATCTTCCCTAAATGTTTTTTAGAATTTCAGAGAAAAAATTCATTCACAGTCTTAAACAAATTAAAAAGACCTTAAATAAATTCATTTAGATGAAAATTTCCAACTAATGATATGCGTATACACAAAAAATAAAATGCAGGGTCGATTAAGATTTTTTTGGAATTCTACTTTTTTCCCCTATAATTTGGCTTTTAAATAAGAATATTATTAGATGCCTAATAAATTTTTCTTAAAAGTTCTTGCAATTACTATGGAAGTTGCATAATATCTTATGAGTTGCATTACCTTTGATAGGAGTATATATATATATTAAACAATAAAAAATTGAATATAAAATAAGGCTTGAGATAATTACAAAAGTTCAAGTGAATTAGCTGTTTTCTTGACAGTAATTTATATTCTTATATTAAATTATATTTAAAAATTTCTATTATTATTAAAAATTGTGTGAATACATTAATAGAAATATTCATTAATCCACTCCACTTCTTTTCCTAATGAAGAAACATATTAGGCGATCTCTTCCAAAGCCATTCTTAGCTTTAGCAAGTAAAACTTATTACTTTGAGTGACTTTAATAATAACTCCAAAAATGCCGAAAAACTTCAATAATTCGCGAATAACTAATTTGACTGAGACAATAGAAAAGTTATTATTATAATTCAACAGAAAATGTACCCACAAAATCACCTTATTTAAATTATCTATCAATGTTCAAGAAAGTTCAAACAAATACTCCACAAAACAATAGTACAAAAATCATGTACAACTTATACGCTTTAACATAAGGAATAAGAATTTTAATTGCATAGTATCTATCATTATTTTATAGTAAAATCTATGATCGTTTCAACAATTTTCTAAATAAGGGACCTACATTAAATTTAGATGCTAAGTTCAATAAAACGCATAGTTATATATTCAAGTTAAAAGTAAAATTTAGTATATTCAGATATTGTCTAGTAATAAAAACATGTTGCATACAACTATCAAATAATAAAGTATGTAAGCAATTAAACAGAAAGATTTTCTGCACGAATAAATTTATATTAGATTAATTGAAAGTAATTAAATTTAAAAGAAAAAGTCTAATTTGTTTATAGCAATTTAAAAATGAACATACTTTAACCAATAATTTACAAATAATAAATTACGATCATCATTCATCGTAACAAACCATCATAATGGATTTTTGGTATTAAATTTAATTTGTGATCTGGTTATTGCCTTAATTATTCGTTTTAAGTAAGCAACATTGCTATCAATATTTGGAATTTATTGAAAAATTTATAAAATATTTGTACTTACGGTTCAGCTTCGATTGATTTTAATTTAGCAACATAATTTGATGGTATATAACCCTCTTGTCTTGATTTCTTACTTCGTGCCAGCCACCAATCACCCTAAAATTTACAAACATTGATTAATATAAATAATTAATATGCACCAAATTAAAAGGAATAATATTTGGGTAGTATTTTAGCCTTATCATTTCCACAATTTTAAAATTAAAAGTATTCTTATAGGTGTGACTCAGGACTTGCCTTGTCTTATAGAATGAAAAAAATAAGAGGCAATGAAGTTTTACTTCTAATTAACTAGTTAGATTGATAAGTAACAAATTATTTAAAAAAACCATAATCATGATTGTTACGTACCTACATATTGATCATCAATAACAAATTAAAATTGAATAAAATAAAATTTTACCAATATATTGCTTTGAATTAACATTGGTTCACTCACCTGAGTATCATTTAAAATTTCTAAATGTTCACCTTTACGGAAACTTAAATCTTCATCAGTCCTTGCATCATAATCGTATAGCGCTACAAATATTTTTGCATTTGCATTTGAAGGTTCATTTTCTGGTATTTGTGGTACTGGTCTTATTTGTTCTTGTGGTGGAGTTTGCTGAGGCATTAGCACAGGCATCTCTTCATGTAAAGGAGGTCTATGTTCTAATTTGTCCTTATCAGGCTCCTGTTTCTGTGTACGTAAACAATTTCCCATTTTTGAATGAGTTTATTTAAAAAATGTGTAATAATTTATTGTATATTATTTTGGAATATAATTAATGTGTTGACTCTGAACTGGCAGCAGACTTTCTCCAATACAAATAATAATAAATCAACAATGATTTTATTTTTAACAAAATTTAAGATTTTATTTTTTTATAAAAAAATTTTTAATAACCGAATTGTTTATTATTTTTGAGTATTTGACTTAATAAAAATATGTTCCTATTTTATTAAATTGGGCGTTTATTATTTCGAACACTGAAATACACTTACAAACACGCACGCAAAATTAAAAATTAGAAAACTGTTTTAATTACTTCTAATATAGAAAACATTAAATTACAAATTCATTGTAGATACTAAAATTAAGAAAAAAAAAATGATGTTGAAAATCCCGAATAAATATTTTTACTTATTTTATATTGATTATTGCATTTTCTTTATTTTTTGTTTCAGATTTGTTTTTTACACAAAAATTTTCACTTCGCCACCACCACCACTTACTACATCCCAGTCAATTAGTTTTCGACAAATTTTATGAATGATGTTTCAAGCAAAAACTTTTTCACAACACATAAAATTTACTAAACTACTTAATACTGCTAAAAATGGCAGTTAATTAGCCCAAGATTAACTCATTAAAAATTATATTAAACATAAATAAATATTTAAGAAAATTTTTTCTATTTTTATGTATTCAAAAATTTTTCTACTAATTTGACAGTCTAATATAGAATTGTACTAGTTTGACATTCCATAAAAGGGATGTGCATGTTGAAGAATGTAGCGCTCTAGTACAATATTTTTTTGATTCATTCAACAACGTTTTACACAAAGTTTACACAAACTTTTCATCATGACATGTAAGCAGATAAAATTTTGGAGTACAAAACTATGCATATTTCGCACTTCGAAAATTAGATATGTTAATATGCCATATAATTTTTTTTGTCCTTAAAGTTTATTTTTTAAAACAAAAATTGTCTATAAATTAACATTGTCCAACAACTATCAAGTGGTCATACTCGTTCAACATATCAAAATATTACTAAAACGTGTATTAATAAAATCGCTTTTCTAGTTCTTTAATTTTTTAATAGAATTCTTTTTGCAAATTTCAAAAAAGAAATTTGGTATCCATTTGGAAATTTTATTTTAATTTTTTTAAACTCTAATACCATAAGGCAAATCATTTTCTGTTGTACTTTATACTATAAACTTTTCAGAGAATTGTTTTTAGAACTTTTAAAATTGATTGATTTGATCATGATTTTTTCTTCTAAAAGTTGTTGAATACATCATTTCATATTGTCAAAAATACAATGTGAGAACAAATTTGTTGTCGCATCTTGCTAATGTGAACATAATTGTGACAAAGTCACATGAAAAAATTGTGAAAATTCAAGTTTTTTTGAAAGCTTTGTTTTCTAATTTTTAAGTAAAAATAAAGAGGAAATTGAGAAAAGTAAATTAAAACTCGTACAAAAATAAAAAAAATTAAGTCAAAACAATTTTAGGATATTGAATATCATAGAGCCAATTTTATAAGTCTGATAACTTCAATTATTTACAATTTAATTGGATATTTTCATCCGTGATACATTCGGCCTCAACCTTGTATCGTCCAAATGGGTTTAGTTTGTCCCAATTCGGTCACAACGGTAACACTTAAATGACTCAAAGTATATTGTCAAATTTTATTCACTTCTTAATTTATATTTAAATTTCATATGTATATTGTTTTGTTAAAGCGCGCTTTTAATCATGAAGGAAAAAATATTTTTAATAATTTTGTTAATGATTTGTGTGCTAAGATCTTCACAATCATCTAAATTAAATTATCCACGTGTGTTATTACCAATATTTGAAAAAATTTCTATCAATTTTACATTGGAAGTTATTGAAAAAGGTTGTTTTAAATGGTAGGTAAAGTAATGCATTAGGTATTAACATTAGGGACCACATAACCTGTCTGTTATGGTCAAATACCGGTTGAAGATGGATAAAGTTTTATTTATACATCTGAAACATATTAATTTACTTTTAGGATATCATCTCGTCAAGATTTAATTCAAATTTCACCTCAATATGAAAATAATGACAGCGATTGTTCATCAAAAGTAATAGTTACCGTTTTGACTAAAGAGAAAAGAAGGAATACAGCTATTGTATTGGCGGAGGACTTATCTAATTCTGAAGTTTTACGTTGCGATGTAATTTTAGATATTATTGGTGAGCTTGGTGTATTAACGACAACTCGAGAATTATATTTAGAAGAAGCACCAGAAACCTTTGAGTTATGGGCCCAAGATTCCCAAGGAAATGCATTCACTACTTTGGAAGGAGTAGAGTTTCAATGGCAAATTATCCAACCAGATGGGAATTGGCCTCAAGTTCTGAGATTCCTAACATTTAGCGAAAGTAAATATCATGAAACACCCAGTTCTTTGTCGAAATTTGAATCTTTGGGAATACAAGGGTACATGGTATTATTAGAAGCTATTAACACAGGAGTCGCGAAAGTTTCTGTTCGTCTTCCATATCCAGAGTATGATGTGGTCCCCGTGATTGAAGTGGATATTATGGTTTTGGCGAATATAATTCTAGATCCAACCGACGTAAATATTTTAGTTGGAGACACTATTGAGTTTAGGATCTTACAATTAAAGCAAGGAAAATTGCATGAAATATCTTTAAATGATCAATATTATTTAGAAATATTAGATTCTCAAATAGCTTACATGGACCAAAAATTTGCCACGGGAAGAGCTTTGGGTAAAACCGTAGTTGTACTTCGGGACAGAAATGTTGTAGGAGATGTGCAAAATAAAAATAGTCAAAACAAATCACCAGTCCCTAGGGCAACGTTAACTGTTACAACACCTCGTAAAATTACAGTTAACTTATTACCTTATTACAATTGGGTTACTGTAGAAGGAGAAAAGCATGAAATAGCCATAGACTTGTATACAAACGAAGATCAAAAAATTCTGTTGGGCCCGAAATACTTTATTGATTCCGAATTTGACGAATCTTTATTTTATCCTTTTAAAACCAGTAAAAACGGAAGTCGAATTTTTGGGCAAACCCTAAAGGAGGGCAGCTGTTTGGTTCATGGCTCGTATAAACAAGTAAAAATATTTTCATATGAAATATATATTTTAAAATTAATATAATTTTTAGCTTTCAGCAAAAGCTGAATTGCAAGTTTATAAGGAATTGGTGTTGTCACCGAAACTCGTTATTCTTCCTTATGATCCTAATGCACCAAAAACCCAAAAAATTCAGTTTTTGGCTAAAGGTGGAGATGGAAGCTATATTTGGTCTTCTCATTCCCCGAACTTGGTTAACATTAATCAGAATGGTTTAGCTGAAATAAAATTTGATACAGAAGCCCGTTTCTCTGCGCAAGATAATTATGATGAGAAATTGAAAACCAAGCTGGTTAAGCATACAAATGTAAAAGTTGCTATGTCCCGAAATACAAAAATTGTACGTTCAGCAGAAATTTTCTTATTACCTCCAGTAAAATTAGAGATCGTCAAATATAATTTTGAAACTTCTCTAAGAGACTATGTCAAAACTCATATTGCATTATATGCGTATGTGAATGGAAGCTATACACCTTTTACAAATTGCGAAAATTTACACTTTGAATTAGAATTTTCAAATCCTATATTCCAGCTGGATCCTCTAGGAGGTAAATTGCAAATTTAATAGTAGTAGAGAAAAAAATTCTTATAATTATTTTTTTTAGGTTCCATACAAGAACATATCAGCGATGAACTAGAATACAACGCTTGTCATTTGTTGTACCTGAAGAGCACACAATTAGGTCAAACAAACTTAAAATTAGTTTATCGAATTATGGATAAAATTTTATTCGATGAAGTTCAGTTGTTTGTTTTTGATCCTTTATCAATAATAAATCCAGTAAATAATGAAATAGTGTTACCTATAGGATCATCTCGCAACATTTTATATTATAATGGACCACAACGTATCTTTAATGTAGACGCAGAATTAACTAAAATTATTCACTATTCAAGCCGTATTGCAGAAATTACACAAATTAACATGGACACTTCAAAACCATTGCATGGGTTACAAGTTTTATGTAAAGAAGTAGGAGATACACAGCTAGATTTTAAAATTTATAATTTACCGTCAAATAAAAATGCTGTCCCTTATGTATCTACAATGGTGACTGAAATACATTGTGTGAAACCCAGATTTATTAACTTATACCCCACTGAAAAAATTAGACAAAACTGCCCGTTGGAAATGAAAAACTCAATAATGCACGTCAAAAATCAAAACGAAGATAATCTTGAAATTGAAATAGAGGTTTTGGATGTTAAAAACAGGAAACTGATGAATATTAGTTCTTTAGTGATTTCTTGGGAATTCTCTCAAGGAAATAAAGTTTATTCTAAAGAAATTAACTACAAACAAGAAACGGAAGAAGAATTATTTGAAGGAATACGATTTCCATCGAAAGATTTTCTTAAGACTCCAGTTCCTGAGATATTAAATAACTTCAAAATTAGATCGATCGTTACTAAGTATGATAACAATGTTTTGAATAAAAACAAAATATCTCCCGAAAACCCAGAATTTGGAATTCCACATATTAAAAGTGGGTCTCTTGTTAAACCATTAATTGAAAATGAAATAAATTTCATGGCAGTAGACCGAACCCTTCTGCCATTTAACAGCATATCAGTGCTCTTAACTAAAAATAAAGTTGAACGTATTCATATTTCACAAGGTAGTGGGTTCTATGAATTTGAACCAAGTGATGACGGAATTGTGACTATGGAATTTGATAGTAAAAGTGGAGATTTGTTAATAAAACCTTTGAAAATTGGACATGTTACGATTGAGTTAATAGACCGCTGCTTAATGTCGGAAGCGGCTCGATTATCTGTGTCTGTTGTTTCTGTTGGTCGTGTGTTAGTTGATGTCCAAGACCGTGTTCAAAAAACTAAAACTGTAGAAGCTATAATTAAATTGTATGATTCTAATGATAATGTGCTTGCAATTGATCATAATAATTTACATGAGTATGAGTTGCATGAGCATATTTTTAATCCAACGATATTTAGTGTTAGGTTAAATGATAATCAAAATGATTTGAAGCCTGGTGAAATAAGGTATTCTTAAATAAGAAACTATTGCTAATGTTCTTAATTATATTACAAATATTTCAGTTATCTTGTGACTGGGAATGAGCTAGGAGAAACAAAAGTAATATTCAGTTCGGGCTATGGCGATCAATTAATTTCAAGTGAAGCTGCAAGTATTCAGGTAAATAGTTTTAATTTTTTTTTTATAAATATGTACTAGCATTGAAGTTATTTTATTAAAGTTTTGAACTATTGTATCAAATGAATAAAACTTTGCAAAATAATTTTAGGTTTTTCCTCCATTAAAATTATATCCAAGAAATTCTACTATAGTTATAGGATCAAGTATACAAATATATTATCATGGTGGCCCGAATCCAGATGTTAATGTTGTATACACAATTCATAACCAACATGTAGTTTGTAAGTAAAAAAAGTCTTTAAGTTATGTATAAATCATATATGCACATACGTAACATGTGCAATAAATAGTTTTGGTTTATTTTGTAAAATTTTTTAAATAACATCCAACCTTGTCTTATACACATCCAGAACTTATTGCAACTGAAAATATATTTTAACTTTTTTAGCAATGGATTCCACAATAGTTTCTGGTACAAAACTTGGTGATACTAAAATAACAGGCAAATGTGTTGGTATCAACCCAAAAACTGGTAAACAAGTTGTGTATTCGGAGGATACTATTGAAATTTTTGTTGTACCTCTGGATAAGATACAAATTCGTACACCTCTTCTAAAAATTAAGAGTGGAGCAGTTATGCCTGCTTTTATATGGGGTATTTATTTTAAATACATATAAGAAATGTATTTTAATGATTTCTTTTTTATAATTTTCTCAAAGGTGTACCAGAATTGTCCCCTATGATTTTAGGAACTTTGGAAAATATGAGAATCATTTGGTCTACTAACCAACCAGATGTTGTTGATATATATGGTGCTTTTGCTGAGACAGGTAATTAATTGACTTAACACAATTAAAAAGCAACATTTTATGTTATTTATAATTCCATAGGAGTTGAGTATAGCGATCGTGATTTAATTACTGTACGAGTACGTGCCTTAAATCCTGGAAAAGCTAAAATTCAAGCAAATGTCATTTTGTCCGGCGGCAAGAAATTGACAGCATCTGTGGAGATATTTGGTATTAGATTCTTTTTTTTTATATAAATATTTTTAGTATTTTAAATTCCATTTTTATGGATCAAATGCAATGAATTTATCAAAATTCTTTTTAAGTTTTCAAAATTTTGGAATTGGAATCTCCAAAACCAATTCGAATCGATTCAATTTTGATGGCGCCACGTTCAACAATTCAATTGAAAGCGAATTTGGATGATGTTACATATAAATCTGAAAGTTCTTTGGACACTACATTCAATGGAGCTGGTAGTGGTAATGGGAATAATGGTAAAACAAGAAGCTCAGTTATGAAAAATTCTGCAACCAACAAACTCGGAAATATAGATAGCATCAATAATATTAAAATTGTTAAAGTGTCACCTGACGGTATTGTCAAATCAGGTGAACTTTTGGGAAGAGATTTGATTATTGTAAGTACAATTTTGTTTTATTTTTTAAAAGCTGTATGTTGATGATTTATATTTACTCCTATTTTTAGGCGAAAACATATGAACAAACATTACCCATCGATATTGAGGTGAAAAACATTCAATATATCTTAGCTACACTAAAAAATCCATCTTTTAAATTGAAACAAACAGAAGAAAAAATACCACGTGGTATGAATCTTGTATTGAAAGTGTCACTTCATGACAACCTGGGTAATGAATTTGCTCACAATATTGAGGATATAAGTAATTTTAAGTACGAACTATCTCATAAAGATATGGTCGACATACAAATTGGAAATAATCAAACATTTGCAGTAAGATTTGCTTTATCTGCTTAATTTTTTTTAAAACTTCTCTGAAATAATATTTACTTTTATTAATAAACATAGATAAATCTTCTGCGTGAGACAAATAACATGCTTTCTATATCACTGAAAGATAACACTGGAGTAAAATATGCGGAAGATTATATAAAATTATCTGTTTCCGAATCAAAATATATTTACCCAACAAAGGTAGAATAAATAAACAAAATAGAAATTAATAAATAGACACAGAAGAGGTTCAATTTTTGATTAAAATAATTATATTTTTAATATACTACTTTTAGACAATTTTCTCTTCTGGCGATATAATTTGTTTTGAATCACCTTTAACTTTGGAAACTTTTTGGACATCTTCAGCTGATCGTTTAGTAAAAATTGATTCTGTTACAGGTTTGTTCAATGTTTTTCTTACTTATAAAACTAATTAAAAATTTTTATCGAATAATAATAATTTTTAAATTTGTAAAGGAATTGCTAAAGTGATTGCTGTTCGTAATAAATTCAATGAAAAAGTTGTAATAACAAATATGGGATCTACTGGAAATTTTATCAAATATGATTTAGAAATTCGTGAATCTGATATGGTAAGTTCTGTTTTTGATTATTGTTAATTTTAAATTGAAATTAATTCATTTTTATTTTTAAGATTGAATTTCAAAAAACATACGATATATTTAGCGGCACATCATATCAAGCATATTTAGTCATCAAAAATCATTTGCAATCAGACAAATATTCCAATATGGTAAAAATGAAATTTTTAAAATTTTGTTAAATTGTACATTAAATATCTTATTATTTATTTTCAGTTTGCAAAAAATATTTCGAAATGTTCAAGTAATTCAGATCAATTATTTACGGAAGTAAAATTTTTCACTTGTCATTTATCATCGAAACAACAATTAGGAACTCAAGTTATAGAATTTTATAAGGTTTCTCCGAAATTTGATATAAATCAAGGAATGTACTTGTGTGAAATTGAATTACTTTCTGGAATAGCAGATGTTGTTAATTTTGTAAAAAATAATGATATTAATATTGAATTGAAGGTAAGAGTTTGTAAAATTTTTAAATATAAACTATGTCAAGTAGGCGTTTTATAAAGTAATCATAAATTTGTTAATATTACTAATTTTTATTCCACTCGACCACTCATTAATTTAAATGAAAATATAAAATGTGCATTATTGAATTAGGCACAATTATCAAATGGTGTTAATGATATCGTTACGCTAAAAATAGTTCCGGGAATCAAAGTAACTCCAGAAGTAATTACTGTTGATCAAATACACAATCAAGGTCTTATAGTAACTGGACTGGATAAAGTTTTACAAAAAATAGAGGTAAGCTTAGAAATTAATAATGTTAAATTTTTTTAGTTACTTAAGATTATTTAAGAAAAACTTCTGTTTATGTTACGAGATATTAAGATGTTGTTAAAGCATTAATTTTTGCAATTCAATGTTGTAAAAATACAATTTTTAAATTTAATTCAAAGTAAACATGATATAATTCATAAACTTTTAAATTTGGTAGAAAATGCCTTTTATAGCATTAGAAAACTTAAAATTATTTTATATAATAACAATTCATTTTTTCTTTATTGAATAGATTAAATCATCCGATGAAGAAATTTTGGAAATTTCACCACAAGCTAAAGCACATGGTTCAATTCACTTTAAGTTAAAATTATTAAGTGAATTTCCTGCAGATGAAAATGTTTTTGTTAATATAGTATCACCATTAACTTTACAAAATTTGGAGGTAAGCCATAATTTTTCAGTTTTCATATAATTTTTTAGACAATTCTTTCGTATGTATTACTAGTTCTTTTGTATGACTAAAAGTCCGGTAATGAGAAACAACAGAGAATAAATTAAAAAAATGTTATAAAATTTCGAAGGCTCAATATTATAGTTTTCTCTGATTCTAGTTTGTTTCACTTACAATATTACTATTGGAAATAAAATATTCTTCATATTTGTATGTACGTACATATGTAGTTATTAAAAGAAATTATTCCTTGAGTACAAAAACTCTAGTTTACCTATTCCAATGTTTATAGGCTAAGAATTATAGCAGTTTATCTTTCATTGATTACCGACCGCAATTAATTTTTGTTTTATATGAACCTTAATATTATATTCACCTTTGTAAAAAAATCTTGTTAATCTACATACTATGTGTACATATTTACACATTTTTATATACAAATATATTATGTACATACAAAAGTACATTAATTCCCTTTTACTTGCATTTTTTTAATATAAATAAAAACAAAAATAAATAAAATTACTTTTATAAAATTCACAGCCTGTCATGAGGCTTAATGTCTTAAATTGACACAACGAGAAAAGAAATAATAAAGAAACAAAAAAATTTATTTGTTTTACTTTGATATAATCGAAAAACTTTTAAGGAAACCAAAGGAAATCCTTCTTTATTATGTACATGACTTGTTTGTATATTGAAAATAATTTGCTATAATGATGATAACAAGGAGAACATCAATAAAGGATACGTGTAAATTAATGTTTTAATATAAAATTATTTGGATTAATAAAGGGGTGGCCTTTTAACTTAATGATAATCAAATTAATTTCATATTAGTTCCTATAATTTTTCCTTTATCATTTTTTTTTATTTAACATATATCTGTGTACTTAATGTATACATACGTTAGTTTAATAAATGAAATTGTTTTAACATTTTGTATGTGTTAATATAATTAATGTATAAATTGAATTTAATGAAAAAAAAAAATTAACAAATTAATGAAAATTGATTGAATTCACTTGTGTATATTTGCTTTTTGATCTGCAATATTAATTTTTTCTCTATATTAAATAGAAAATACATTTTGTGGTTGGTGTAAGGCATAAATTCCTAAAATTGATTGTTTTACATTTACAAATAAAGAGTAACTGAAGGTTATTTAGTTTTGATAATTAAATTTTAATATTATTCTGATTTTATATTCAATTAGCTAAATCATATGATTAGCCAAACCATTGTTCAGTTATGCTTAAGAGATATTCCTCCTTATTACCGAAAGAATTTCAATATTGTTTTATTTTCGTATTATTAATGAATATACTATAAAACAGTAAATTTGGAACGAAAAAGAATCATAGGTATTTTTTATATTAGGGCTTGAATCCAATTCCTTGCCGCGGTATAGAAATTTTAATTTTTAGCACGACATTTTATGGCAGTTTATAAAATGATTTTGTCTTTTTATCGGGGTATCGAGTAGAAAATTTTATATAAAAACTGTTGATAAATGTTTTTTCCAAAATACGATAACTAGATATGTTAGCTTACTCTTTATACATATATATTAAATACTAAGACTAAGGAAAAAAGCTCTTTTAGTTTTGATAAAGCAATATGGCAAAAACAATATCTGAATAATGTTGACAATATCAACATTATTCGATAGAAATAACTGATAACGAAGGAAATTATAAATTCAGTTTCATAATGATAAGCTATAAAGAATATTGTTTTCCATTTCCATTAGCATAATGGAATATTAGCTTTGTGTTATACAAACCCTTTTCTCTTTAAAATGTGTTCATTGAAATAAGAATAAAGAGAGCAATAAGAAAAAATTCAGCAGTATTATAGAAATTTAGTATGCCAGTGACCATATGCAAATAATTATGTTTTTTAGTAAATGATTATGTTAGATGGCCCACCAAATCTATTTACGTTTTTCAATAAGAATTCAATGAAATGAATGGAAACAAGCTCTAATAAAAGAATATATTTAGCATTTGTGAAAAATTTTTGTTAGGGTATGCACGTAAAAGTGTTTATATGTCATGCTTGCTGTTCTCGAATTTAAAATTTGGTTTCCATTTATCTAGAATTCAAAGAAGTCAACTTATATACTTTAAGAATTGCGGTAATAAAATTTAAAAAAAATTGAATACTTAATATGTATGTACTTAATATGTATACTAGTAACATTTTTTTTAATATTTACAGATACCAATTCTTAAGCCCAGTACATTAATTCAAACATGTTCTAATCAACCATTTAAAACAACGCCAGTGTTTTTGATGAACTTTATTTCAAATCTTGGCTTTATTATATCAATAATTGTTCTTGTGGCAACAATAGTTTGGAGTAAGTACCATATTTTTTTCGAAATTTTTTTATTTAATTTTCATAATTTTGAATTAAATTGAAATTAAAACAATATTTTAATTTCAAAAATTCCATAATTTATTCGACGTTTATTTATTTGTATATCCTTGCTGCTGTAAGGTAGTGCTTTTCTCTGTTTTATTACATTATTCAAAATAACTAATTGATTTTAAATACTAGATATTTATGTAGACTATAAAAATAATTTTTTTTAGTACTATGAACTAAAATACTTTTTTATTGTCTTTTTAAGTTGCAATGTTTGGATTTCCTGGTCGTAGTAGAGCAGATATCAACCCTGATGGTAAGTATTTGAAAAAAAGAAATATTTTAAAGAGTTTAACTCTTTAATAATGGATCAATCATATGCAACCACATAATTGAGATGGGTGATTTTTTTGCTGCTTGGTTTTGTTTCATTATCTTCATTTGGTTTACCGACTGGGTCCAATTGAATCTATACGGTTTGCCATTTTACAATCTAAAGACTGACGTCCGAACAAAGCTTCCAAATGATTAATAATTAACAATTATTAATTAAAAATCCTGTCGGCTACCAATTTCTTGTTTTGGATATGTAAACTGGTTTTAGATATTATGTAATTTTACTAATCTAGATTATTTTGTTTGCAAATAACTGATATTTTTTGTTTCCGTATATAAAACCTCCGGCATCGATTTCAGCGACAGATTCCTTTTTTTTTTAAATTACAATTAAGTTTAAAATTTGAAACTTTTGCTAGTTTGATTATTATTTTCGTTTATTATAAAATTGTTTATTGTTTTACAGTATTCTCAACGTCATCAAAAAATAATACAAATGTTACGAATATTAGTGGTGCAGCGTTAGATCAAAGTCAGTTTGATAAGAGTGGAGCAAATATGAGCGGTCAAAGGCGTCCTTATTATTCTCATTTTGGTAAGTTAATTTAATACTGTCTCATATTATAATATTGGTAGAAAAATGAGGTCAGTAGTTTGTTTGTCAATGACAATAACTTTTTAAAATATAAATTTTTGAATCAGTTGATTGATAGTCTTCTTGACTAATCTAATTTTTTAAATCCATTCACAGATTCACCATACCGGAATGAAGGTGCTAATTTAAGTTTATCATCTGGTAATGAATCACCAGTTTATGGTGATACATCAATAGTTTCTCCACAAAGAAGATTGTATCCACGTATTTTATAGGATGAGGAAATTAAAAATAAGAGCCAAAAAATTAGCTATTTTCTTGCATCAAATCGTTCCTATTAAATAAAATATAAAATTTATTTTTTTAATAATATTAACGAAAATTATATTTTTTTTAAAAATTATATTAATTTAAGATGTGCCACAATTTAGTTTAAAACATCGGTTTATAACATACTAAATATTATATTAAATAGTTATAACTTTATGATGCGTGACTCAATATTACTTAATATAATAAAAAAATTAATAAAATAAATAAATTCAAACCACATAACGAAATACGGAACTGCCTTACTTAACTGACTGACAATACTTATTTGACTGTTTAGACAATTTACTATTTACTATTAAATATTATTTTGTGTTTAAGTATTTATATTTTGATTTAATTGATGTTAAGAAATGTTCAATATAAAAAAAAATAGAATTGTAATAAATATAACCTCTGCTATTCTCATTTAACACTCAATAATTTTACAAAAATTACTAATTAAAATTTCATTTTTGATATTAAAATTGATTAAAATAAATTATAAAATTGATGAAATAGCTTTTAAAATAAAATTACAATATAGGACATTATCATTTCCAAAAAAAAAAATAATAATTTCATGTTTGCAGCTTTTCTTTTGAGTAAAGGATATTAGTCAAATTAAAATTTAAAGTGTTTTATAATAAAAAAATATTAATAGGTATATTTATACAAGATACTAAATTAACGTTTATTGTAATAATAATAATTAAGAATACTTAACACTAGTATAAGTTAATAAAATAAGGATTAATAAGATACCAAAATAACGTATACAGGTGATTAAGGAAATATTATTTTATATTTGTTTGAACAACTATAGTTACAACCAGTAAATGCAAAATTTAATTAGTAAGCTAAGTTAATTTTCGATAGTTTATTAAAAATGATTGGATATTGTATTTAATCTTTAGTTTTAAGGATGTTCGGTTTAGTTTTTTCTTTTCCTATTTGTATATCTAACAAAAAAATGTTCAATTCTTATTTTTTTCTCTACTAAAAAATATTCAAGGGATTACTTAATTTAACTAATAATAAAAATTTTGACATTGTTTTATCAAATCTGAAAATAACGTGTACGTTTTGGTAATTTGGTTTATAAAATGTTTTATTTTTGCAAAAATTTTTTAAAAATATTAATATAAATTTTGAAATAAAATAATTTTTTAGTTTCACAATCTTACACTTATTGTTTAATATTTGGTTACACTATAATATGCACTCAATTTAATTACTCGTATATGTAAGCTCTACATTACTACTCGCTTACATTACTACTCGTATATGTAGGCTTTATTCTTTTTTGCAAAATAAAAATCAAGAAATTTTTTAAATTATTATAAACGAATTCTTAAATTGCTTTTTTGTTTTTAATAGTTAGTATTTAAAATAATTTAATGAATTAGAATTAATTTTAGTATTCAATTTGTTTTGGTATTTTTACACGACTCAATTCATGTCGTGATTAATTTAGGAATGGTTTATAATAAAATTTTAGTTAATTTATGTTGTTGATTTATAATTCTCACTGATTTGTTTATTATTTTTTCAAGAATTTATTTATTTTTGCGTTTTTTGTAGCTTTGAATTCAGTTCTCAAATCTTTTGATACATTTCTAAAAGTAATTTTGGAGTAGTAAATTTTAGTCAGAACACATAAGTTTTATTAAAATTTAAAGAGCAGCACAAATTTCTGTTAAAGTAAATTTTTCGTTTATTAAAATGTTCGAAAATATTAGAATTTAGAAATTAATCATAATAATAAATATATGTAAATTTTAAACATTTTTTTTAACAATTCTTAATTTAGGTATGTGCAGGCCTTTCTTATAGATAACTATTTTTAACAGCCATATTTGGAATAATAGATATATAATGAAGAATTCAATTTATTAATGAAAGATTAGGATTTAAAAATGAATCACTGAGATTAACTAGTGTTTTTGAGGAAAAAATTATTTTCAAATTGATCAGGAAATAAAGATATCTTAGTACTTAAAGGTAGCATATCAGTAATCTATTTCTACATCGATAATTAATTGTTGTACCCCAATGTAATATAAAATTTAAATCAGTGTAGTTATGTACATATAGAATAAAATAAATTTCAATAACATAAATTCATATACATGTTATATAAGTTATAAAATGTAAATTGGTTTAAAATTAAAAAAAAATCACAATAATATTAATAAAATTAATTTGTATTGATAAGTTAAAAAAATGTCTTTTCCTTACAAACCTGGAACAAATGGAACCTTTGCTTCTTTAGATAATTGCAATTGTATTGTAAGATAATGTTATATTACAATGATGAGCCAACTCTATTGGGTAGGTTTTAACCATTACTGGCGGGAATGTAAGTAAGAACAAATAATTGAGTTTTTAAAAATAAATTCTTTGAAGAGTCGAGAATCAATTAGTTTTGTCTTATTGGGTTTTATAATTTTCATTTATTGTAATTACCCAAAACATAAATTTTATGTGGTTGTTCCATAATTGCAAAAAAAAAAGTGCTTCTTGTCATATTCTAAAGCCCAGATATTAATGCAATATAAAATTTTATGAATGCACTTCAAGAAGAAAGCGCAAAAAGTTCAACAAAACGTAAAAAATATTAAATTTAATATTTCGGACTGGGTGCCAGATCTCAAGGGTAGATGAAAAAATTTTTATGGTACAGAAGATATTATACAAAAACCATTTCTATGTCAAGATTTTAAAGGCCCTATTTTTCCCTATTTTTGATTTTTATTGATTTTAAGCGCAGTAATTATCAACTATAATTAATTTTTGGTAACAAGATTCACTAGAAAAAACAGTTGACATTTTGAAGAGCCGTTGTTTTGATAAAAAATCTGAATTTTAATATTTTTATTGAAATGTAACAAATAATAAAGAAATTGAAACGAAATTTTATATAAACTTTTAATTTGAAAAACAAAAATTTATTTTGAAAAATTTGAAATTTTTGAAAAGAAAAACTAGAATTTTGTATTACGAAAAACAAAAAAAAAATCTAGTAATCAAAAAATTTTTTTCGAAACTTTTCTTGGTAAAGAAAATTGATAGGTTTTTTATTTTTGCCAATTTTTATAAGAAATGGTACCTATATGGTTTAAAATTTTTAAATGCATTTTTCTCGGATTGGGTGCAATTTAAAAATTTGAAAAAAATATTTTCAATATCTAGACATCATTTGGCATCTGAAGTTATTAAAATTATCTGGCTGGAGCAAATTTTTAAAGGCATGCCATACAAATTTTGACATTTATTATAATAGAAAAATTTTTTTTTTTCAATTGGAAAATTTTTTTTTTTTTATCAAAATGGAGTTTGTAAATGAAATGGTATTAACATTATTAAGCTAATAAATAGTTAATGGGATTAATAAATTTTAAACATATTTCTAGAAAAACTAAAATTGATGTACGGTTGATGCAACTAAAGAGGTTCAGTAAAGTAATTAATTTAAAATATGCGATGTGAAAAGAAAATAAATTTGAAAGAAGAAAAACAAAAGAACTGACTTTGATGAAATAGATGAATTTTATAGAGCAATTTTGTGTTTGTTTTGATAAATTATATTGTGTTTGTAAAATTTTTTGATAAAGGAATATTAAATTGAATTTAATTTTAGTTTTATCAACATCTGGTTTAATTTTAATTGAATTTGTGGTTCATAATATTTGTGATTTTTGTGCTATATGAGGTTCTGTACCATAAAAAAAATTTTAATGCTTGATCACTTAAATTAAATCTTAAACAGCTGGCCAAAATTCTATAAAAAAGTTTCAAGGTTTTAAAAAATTTCTTATGAAATTATCCTGTTAGAAAAAACTAAAACAATAAAACAAGGGAAAAATTTGATTTTTCCTAAAGTTCGAAAGCTTGGTATTCCGAAAGTACATAAAGTATAGACTCAAGCAGCATGTTTTATTAAGCCCTTTACAAGGCCTTTAAGAAATTCTTTGTTTGAAGTTCCTATCTTTTTCAGAATAGAAGTTATAATTTAAAAAAACTTGGATAAGTAAAAATTTCGTGAAAATTCGTTAAAATCCCTGGAATTCGGAAGCCCTTGAAATTTGGCACCCAATCTGGAACAAAAGTTTTACCCATTTTCGATCTTCTAACTAATTGTATATGTTGTTGTATAGCTTTCTGAATCACCCTGTATATAAGTTGTATACGTTGTCGATTACAAATAAAGATTAATTATTTGAAATAGAATTGCGGTAAAATTGAGTAATATGTTGAAGAATCCATTCACTCAAATGCTATAATGAAGTAAAAACTTTATGCAATAAAGCTCAAATGGAATTATGAAAAGTTTCTTTACCGCATTACATGTTTAGTTTATACAAATATTAAGTATATCCATACATGTATGAATTACGAATTTATGGAAATCAATGTTTGTGTTTTACATTGTTGAATGTCATTTGAATCATGCTATCATTAACAAAATAATTATTTTACACGAAAATACAATTTAATTCTTTTTCAGGTAAGCTTCTATGCAATTGAAATTTTGGTTTTTCAATTTGAAATCTACTAGAAATGTAGCGAGTGGTAATGTAAGTGTAACCGAATTTTAATTAAACGCACATTGTATAAAACACAAATAAAAACTGTTATACACAGTATGTATTGTGAGTTAAATGTGTTATTAATGCTTTATCCAAAATTTTCAAGTATAAAATTTAAAATTTATCTTAAATACCTACTTATTTTGTTTAAAAACCAATGCTTAAAAATAAAGGCCGTATTAAATGTTAGTTAAAAATTTGTTTTCGCTTTTAAAAGAATATTTATGGATGTTTACGAGTATGTTTACATATATCTTAGATTAATACTCTCAATCTTTGAAAACCTACGTTTTGTAATAATCTAAAATATGTTAAAGAAATAATATGCATATGTACAAATATAGGACAAAAGATTTTCAGCATTGAAGTTAGAGTAAAATTATAAGTTTCATATCGCAGCGTACAAGCTTAATTTACATCGTAAAAGTTGGACGTTTATCAAAACTGCAAAATTTTTACGCAGAATATGCAATCTACTCTTTATTAAACATTTTGGTAAGCAAATATATAATGTAGAATATCAATTCTACTCAGCTGTGTACCTTTAATTACAAAAAAAAAATATCATTTTGATGTTCCTCTCCTATTATTTTTTCAATGCATATTGAAATTTTTGTCTCCAAAAATATGTCAAGTTGGCATCAACTTTGCTTGCTTTCGACATAATGGTGCAAAGTAAATTTAGTACATTCTTACTTTCGTTAAAAATTCAGATTGTACCAAAACCAAGAACATCAAATTGACTACAGATCTTTTATTTTAGTAGACGGGGGTTAATTAATTTAATAACAGAAAGTTTTATATCTAGTAGCAACTTTGGTGTGCTTGATGTTATACCGATTTCTATACTCTAATACAATCTAATGAAGTGGTCTAATAAAATAAGGTCGGATCTTTTCATATAAAGGATCTTTGAAACATATTTTTCATTACTTTACTTTCCAAATTTTTGTATAAAAAGTTCATTTCTGTTACGT